CTGGTGCAATCCTTCATAATGAAGACTGTGAAGAAAAGGTATTCTGCATATTTTGAACCATCCTCCGATAGAAACATAATTATTTCTTAGAATACTTGTTAAAGTATAATTAATTTTTCAGTAAAATTATTGTGTGTAAGGAATGGAATCCTTGTCCTTAAATTAGTTATAAAGTGGTTGGGGATTGTGAAGAACAATATGTATTTTCCATAATTTTAAAAAAAAATGTATTGGGAGACAGCAAGTAGCCAGGTACTCAAATTTCAATTAAATCCCAATAAAAGAATGACTTCACAAGGCAAATCCTCAAGTGGGACTTTTTCATATCAGGAAAAAGGAAATAGCAGAGAAGATGAAGCAATAATTTCATGAGAATATTCCCATTCACTACCCTAAACCTCCAAATTCTTCTTGCTAAGGACACTTCAGAGGTGGGTTTCAGCAGGTTCTGACCAGTTCTGGAGAACCGGTAGCAGAAATTTTGAGTTGTTCGGAGAACCGGTAATAAAAATTCTGACTGTCCCCACCCCCATCTATTCTCTGCCTCCCAAGTCCCAGCTGATCCGGAGGAAATGGGGATTTTGCAGTAACCTTCCCCTGCCATGCCCACCAAGCCACGCCCACCAAGACAAGCCATGCCCACCAAGCCACACCCACAGAACCGGTGGTAAAAAAAATTTGAAACCCACCACTGGGACAAGTAGTAATTTCTTACTATGTTTTTATGTGCCATGTTTCCACATGATTTTGCTCCATTGACATGCCGTTTTGAGCTCTGAGAATTCAGTTTGACTTCAATATTGGCGGATTAATCTAGAAATTTTAAATACAGAATTGAAAGGAATATTATTAACAAGGAATACATTTAGTGAACATTAAGAGTATTCCCACTTAGGTCATTTAGCTGGGAAGATAATAGCTGACAGCAGACAAAGGTTGACATTTTGTAAAATGTCAACCTTACACAGTGGGTCAAATTCTTGGCCATGATCCACAGTTGTTCTTTGAGCATTATATTTCATCTGCTTCTTTTTGGTCCAAAGGACAGTTTTACTGAGACGATGATAATATAGGACGGGCATTAGAATAAATATTTTGAGCACATTTCTGCCCTGATGGTGGTTCTTCTGCTGAAAAACCAATGGGAATGAAAATGTTACAAATGAAATGCAATAACCTTTACATCATGACTTAGGTGTTATTCAGAGGAATCTTTCTTTGCCTTCCTACTTGAACACTCTCTAGAATTACAATAATGACAGATGTAAGGTGAGTATGAAGCATGAATGAATAAAATAATCTTACAATAAGTATAAAAGCAACAGAAGTAAGGAATGAAAGTAAGTGAAAAAAAAACAATTTCTTGCCAGGTAACAAGAAAAACCCTTAGATTTCTTGCAACATTGAAAGTTTTGTATGTTCTAATAAAAGGATTTCTCCTTTAAACCTGAGCTCACCATTTGATTTATAAATTACAGGGTGGTTGTGGCAATTGGTCTATCAAATGAAGATAGAAAATAACAAGAGACTATTTAAAAAAAAAACAAGAAAATTAGGTAGGCAAAGTTAGGAATCAAAAGAACTGAAAGAAAACGTCGAGCTTGAAGCGTTTGTATGTAACTTCTGAGAACACAAAAAAGCTTTTAGCTTGTCAGAGACTTGTTAGGTAGAATGGGGATTTCAAACATCTACCACACTTTTGTATTCTAGAACAATATCCTTTTTTTCATTTTACTAAGAGAAAGTGCTTGTTTCTTTTATTTTTCCTATGAGTAATGTCTCTTTTAACAGGCAGAATGGCATGTTGATTTGTACCAAATGTACTTTGCTTCTGTACTGCAAAAATTGTTTTTACTAGTAGATTATTATAATTGTATCTTAATTTAGCACTTTTGATTGATATTGGAAGTATTTAATAATGTATTTGTAGAACAGATTACAACATGGATCTAAAATATGAAGGGAGGGTGTCAACTAAAAAGAAAAATAAACATAACATCTGTTATTTCCTTTTACTGCAGCCAGAAACATTTATCTTATGTGAAAAATGTCTATAGTAGTATTGAATTAAACATGACTCAAGATAGTTCTGAAGATGCTAGAGTTATCGGCTGCCCTGTTTTAATTATTATTTGTATTCCTCAATCCTGCATGAGAACGTTGATCATTAAGGTACAGGATAGATTGGCTTTTCCATTTTTAATTTCAACCGTAAAACATTCCATCAATGCCAGGTTTGAAAATTATAGTGGTGATAATAGAAGCCTGACCCCAGTAGAAGTTAGAGAAGAAAAAAAATTGTCCCTCAAATGTCAAGGCACCTTGTGGTCCAAGAAATTAAAACTAAATTGTTTGCAGTATGAATCCGAAGGTGGTGGTATATTTCAGCTGCCATGACATTTAGCCAGTGACTTTTCCTAGCTTGTTAATAATGTATAGCCATCCCAATATAAATTTGCAGTGATGGAACTAGCCTGTTAGAGTGAAGTAGTTAAGGAGATTTATTCTGCCCAGAAAATGCATATATGAATGAGAGAGGGGGGATGAAATCAGGACAAATGTCCAAAGAATTTTCTGTTAGACTGTTTTATTTAATGGGGCACTGGGGCAATGTCCACTTTTATTTATTATTCTCTTCTTCTAACTCCTTTTTTAAAGTTTAATTAGTATTCAGATAATTATGAAGACTAATCAGATTGGTAATCTCCACCAATTCATCCATCTCATCAATTCTTCTAAGCCAAAAGAGCTTTACAGAGCTAAAGGTGGCTGCCTAAGTGCTGTCTTGTTAAAGTATATTGCTGTTAATGATCTATTTTTCTTTTAATAAAGCCAGCTCCCCGTTCTGTCGGAGGATGCTAGCCTTCAACCTGGCAGTTATACAAATTATTCATAAACTGTGAAATGTCAGCAGAGAGATGAAAAGAGATGAGAAAAGGGTACAGGTGAGCAACAGAGACACAAGAACAATAGGTTACAGCAGGTTATGGATTGGAATTGAAGGGGGAGGAAAGGGAATTTGACATTTGAAGAGTTTTAAGCCCAATCTAAGACTGCAGGGAGCTGTTTCAACCAGGAGACACTTAACTTCTCTTGACAACCTCTAGATATGTGAACACTTACAGCTGGGAAAGGGATTCATTTGCTTTCATTTCAGCCTAATTTGTGGAGTAAATAATTACAAAGGGCATTCCAAGTCCATAGCTTTCAGACTTTTCTAGACAATGGAGCTGGAAGCATATTACAAACATATATTAACTAAAGAATTTTGAAAATAAGTAGACAAATATGCTCTGTTGGTTTGGTGTCACTGAGGTCTAGCTTATACAAAGAATTGGCTCAAATTGGCTGATGGACACATTCACAAACTCAGCAGCAGCATGCATTAATTTGCAAGGGGAAAAAAGCATGGCTCATGGTCCCTGCAGAAAATGAGGGTACTTTGAGTTTTGCACTTTTCTAGCATGTCTGGAAGTGTGTTCTTTCCTCTTCTCTGACACCCTCACACCCCCCACCTTCCAAGTCATGTCTTCTCAAAAGAAGGGAACACAAGCCACTTTTTGTGAAGAAATGTCTATCAGACCCAAGGAATATGGAGTAGGAAAGGGGACTGTTGCAAAAGAGACATCTCAGCCCCAGGGAAGGGAAGGGGGAAAGTGCGATAAAGAGACTCAGATTAAATCTGTGTTAATTATGCTTGGTATAAATTGATCTGGATAATTGCTTTCACAGGTTTTCTACATTCTGTCACGTTGCCCTACTAACAATAAAGATGTTTTCAGAAATCCAGTGGTTCTTGCTTCCTGAGTTTGTCAGTCTTGAGAGTTGTGACCCTTCTCATTTGCCAGAAAGTATGAATAAGATCACTCTTTCTCCAGACTAAGTAAACTCCATTGACAAGAAATCCCATCTTTGGATAAATTTGGAAGTTAGGGCTGGCATAAAATTAGGTTTGGGGTGACCTTGGCCATAGTGTGGTAGAACTTGCTGTTCAGCTTGCTATTTTATGCTTCAGCCCCCCCCCTCCCCAATTTGATTCTCTTGGTGTGCCTTAATCAAATGTTTTTCCTGGATTGGTATTATTCAGCTGTTGTTTATGGTAATGCCTACTAAGCACATTCTCATTTCTTTGCTTTTAGAATTGCTGAACAAAACAGGAAGGCAATCAATCTTTTTGTGATTACTGTTTTATCTAACTTTATTCCTAAGTAACATAATTGGAAATAGGGCTACTGCCTCTATTCCTTGATACCAGACATTGTCCTTCAAAATTCCAATTGAAATACTTTGGGAATGCTTTTAAAAATGAGTCTTAAAACTCTCAAAAAAAATTCAGAAGGACTTATCGAAGACAATGTTAAAAAATATGCTGAAATCACTAGGCCAGGCCACATGATTAGTTCCAGTTAAACTGATTTATTGCCAATGCCTAGGCATAGGAAACTAGTCAACCAACTGGTAAGCACTATTTTGGCATTAGATAAGGGTCAATGGAATTCAAGAAGTGTTGGATTTCATCCATTTGTGTTTATGTAGAGCAGTGGTTCTCAACCTGTGGGTTGGGACCCCTTTGGGGGTCGAACGACCCTTTCACAGGGGTCGCCTAAGACCATCAGAAAACACATATTTTCAATGGTCTTAGGAACAATTTTATGGTTGGGGGTCACCACACCATGAGGAACTGTATTAAAGGGTCGTGGCCTTAGGAAGGTTGAGAACCACTGATGTAGAGACTCTAGGCTGATTCCTTTTTTGACTTCGCCCTCAGGCTCTGCCACTCCTTTTCCTACATCTTTCATGCCCTTTGCCAGACTCTAGGAAAAAGTCTATCTTCCAGTTTTTGTCCCATTCAATGGAAATGGGCATCCATTAATATCCAGATGGCTATTTAGCAGGAATTAAATTGAACCAAGACAAAGTATATGCATAAAACTTGTGTTTATTTATACATAGTTATGAAATTGTACATTATGCTAAACTATAATGAATATTATATTTAGGTGCCTCAATGGATTTTCTGGCCAATTTTGTGAAATAGACTTGAATGAGTGCAGCTCTTCTCCTTGCTTACATGGCTCAGTCTGTGAAGATCTTATTAATGGATATTTCTGCAGATGTCAGAAAGGTAACAAATGAACAAAATACTTTTAATTAAGTCTTTTTACTATTCAAAAATTCAGATTCAAACAAACTTTCCCTTTTTTTAATCAATACTTGATTTAAATCAATACTTACTGGAATTAAACAGTGGAATGTTTGTTTCTCCAAATACAGCATAATATATCAGGAAATCCCTTTTTGTTGTTTCTTAGGTGCAAATTGATCTAACCTCTTGATCAAAAAGCATCACAGAAGAAAAATATTTTCCAGTGGAAGCAACCAAATGCACTTAAAATGTTGTCTTGGGTCCAAAGGGAAAATTAGTTGTTTTAATTAGCATTCTACACTGGCTAATTCTGCCATGTGTTGGACAGTTTGATTGAATGTTACTGTAAAGTAAATTTGTGGAACAATTTGCATTTGGAATGAGGACAGCTCTTAGAATTAAATGAAGAAAAAGAAATTGTTGTTGTTTCACTATAACACTAAGCCAGGAGGTTTATTTGAAGTAGAGTAATGTGTAGAACTAGCCATAGTGATTTGTAAATCATGGTTTAAAATATGTACCACTCTCAGAGAATATACATGGCTTCCACTATTGCATCTGCACCACACAATCAGTGGTGGGTGTATTTCCTCCCTCCCTCCCTCCCTCCCTCCCTCCCTCCCTCCCTGTATATTCCATTTGTTGGGGGTAGTTGACGATGTTTCTAAGGAGCATTTGGAAGGGGGTTAATTTTAGGAAAATAGACCAGTTTTAATTCACTTTGATAAAAGACAATTTACTTTGGAAATCATTTCAAAGAAGTAAAGCTCGCCAGATTCCCTTGGGAAAAAAATTGGAAAATTTGTCTTCATTGTGGAGAAATAGCAATCTCCTACCCAAATTCTTTGCTCATAAATCAGTGAAAAATTTCAAAAGGTTATTCATGCCTAACTCCAGCTAATGGAGCACGAGAGCAAAGAACCTAAATCCTAGGTATGTGTTCTGCCCCAGCTCCGGATTCCCAAGGATTGTGACACCCACCAATGGTCCTTATCAAAGTTATAACGTACCAAGAATAAACAAAGTCCGGCAAAGGTTGACAACCAGCCCAGAAAACAAGATACGATAAGACACTCACTCTCCAAAATGCTCTGTAATAATTATATAATTATTGTTTCCAGCAAGAAATTACTGAGTGCGACTTAAATAGGCTAAGGGAGTGGCCAATTATCCTCAAACCTTACTCTCGAGGAGACCTCCTCCTCCTGAGTAGCCACTCCTGCCTTTGGCAGCCCTGTGTGCTCGAGCATTGAGGAGAGGCTCCTCCACTTTACTTTCTCCACTTGAAGGAGCCTCTGGAGGTTCTGAAGGCCCTGGCTGAGTCTCTGCCTCTGGCACCACATCCTCTTCAGCCTTCTCGCTGTCCAACATGAGCACCAGCTGCACAGGCTGCTGGCGGGATCCCACGCCAGCCTCCTCGTCGTCGGGATCAGCCACGATCTGCGCAGGCCACTGGCGGGCCACAACAGTATGTTTCTACTTGAAGCAGAGTCTAAAGGTCCATTATCAGTAACACAAACACTTTATAATTATAGTATGGATTAATAATTTGTTATTGCAGGCTTGCTACAGCCAATAAGACATAACCTCTTTATTCAACTGTAGAGCAAGGCCAGCAGCAGGTAGCATGTTCCACCACCATCCATTCAAGACATTTCTTTTTAAAACAATAATGATAACAACGTGGTGTGTTTTTTTGTTTTTTGTTTTTTTTGCTTTAATTTATATGCCGCCCTTCTCCGGAGACTCAGGGTGGCTTACAATGCGTTAAGCAATAGCCTTCATACTTCTGTATATTTATAAAAAGACAGCTTATTGCCCCCACAATCTGGGTCCTCATTTTACCTACCTTTGAAAGGATGGAAGGCTGAGTCAACCTTGAGCCTGGTGAGATTTGAACTTCAGTAATTGCAAGCAGCAGATGTTAATTACAGTGCTTTAGTCCACTGTACTACAGGCTCTTCCCTGTAAGTACAGTGGGAAGTACACACCCCTTATAACCTAATTTTTATTTCATTAGTCATTTGCTATATCCAGATTAGAAAAGGATGCCCTGTAAATGGTTTGAATTATATGTCCATTTTCGGAGTACTATGGGTAACAAAAGCAGGGTTTTTTTTGGAGGGGGGTGTCTTTGAGTCAGTGTTGACTTCTGATGATGTCCTGAACTAGTTCCTGTAGTTTCCTTGGCATTATTTTTGGAAATGGCTTGTTATTAACTTTTTCCCAGGGCTGAGAGATAGTGACTGATCCAAAAATCACCCAGAGGGCTTCATGCCTAATATGTGTCTAGAACTCATGGGTGCCTTCACTGAAACACCAATATTAAACCAAAAACCTATTACATTTTTTTTTCTTTCCAACAGGCTGGGAAGGGTTCAGATGTGAAGAGGATATCAATGAATGTGCATCTCACCCTTGTGTACATGGAATATGCATCCAGAGGGAACCAGGCCTGGGTTACACCTGTTATTGCACATCTGGATATGTGGTATGACCCAAAACCTTACTACCACCACTTGATATGAAGCATGTGCTGTTGAAGTTAAACCTTAGCAGAGTCTGTCTCCCATTAAGTTTTCTCATTTGTCATAAACTTGAGATCAACCATTAAAAATCAATTCAACAGATGAGAAAAAGCCTCTGAGACTTAGTCCTGATTATCTTTGTAGGTTAATTTGTTTAATTGTTCAACATCCAAATGTATAGAGGTATATGCTTTATTTAAATTGAGCTTTCTATTGTCTTTGAATGGGAAGCCTAAACATATCTTATTAAAGAAATAGTCACCACCAGGCTACTGTGCAAATGACCTGTAGAAGGATGCCACCACAACAATGGCAGATGATGAGGATGGTACACAGCTACCTTAAACTGTTGTTTTCAACCACAGGATACAAGTCATTTTAGGAGTCAGCCTACGTGCAAATATTTATGGATCAAGTTCATAAACCAAACATAATATATTCACCATGTTACCCAAATGTTTATTCTGTTCTGTTCTGCTCTGCTCTGCTGTTTTATTCTACTGTACTTTATTCTACTCTACACTACTCTATTACAGATCTATATATTATTTATTTGTTCAGTTTGACATTAAATCAAGATATACTAAAATTATTCAGATAAATCTAGCACGTTTTCCTGTTCTAGGATAAATGAACTGAAAAGTTTTTTTTTAAAAAAAATGCTGCTTGAAAAAGCTCTAGAGCTCAAAGTAATTTAATATGCAGTTTGTAGTATCAATGCCCAATGGTTTAATTATGTAACAGTTTGAAATTACCAAGAGAGCAAAACCTACATTGATTCATATCTATGTTTTGAAAACTTGGGCTTCTTATAGAATGAGGTAGTTTTGAGAAACAAAAGCGAAGAGATGGGCTTATTTAAGTTATTTTATGATACCATGCTTCAAATCTAAAGTTTTCTGATTGAATTTGTCATGCTAGGGTGTTGCAACAATTATTCAAAAGGTCTTGGGATAATTTTAAAGACCAAACATTTTATAGTGACATAAATACTGATGTGGGGACAGTGAGTTGTGAGAGGCAAAATGTGTTTACCTAAGTACAGACGCACTTGATATTGTTAAGTGAGCAGTGATAGCAACAATACTAATAATTTGATACAAGGTCAAGTGATCTTAATGATGGAAACAAACTTCTGAAGATAAACTGTTATGCTCTATAAGTAAGTAATTTTCTCCATAATGGGCCTGGGGCCATCCCCTTCGGGAGAGGGGGCGGTATAAAAATTTAATAAATAAATAAATAAATAAATAAATAAATAAATAAATAAATAAATAAATAAATAATTTCTACAGATCAGAGAGCGGAAGAAACATGGGATTTTTTTTCATGAATTTTCCTATTCTGAATATATTTACTCTGAAATAAGATACTAATCTTACTTTTTATTGTATATCCATAAATGTGGTAAGGTCAAAGAAGTAGTTACTCACCTCTCTTTTTCCTCCTCTGATGCCACCTATTGTCAGATTTGTAAAGAATCTTAAATCTGTGATATTTCGTAGAATTATAAATATAGTTGATAATACCTTTGGGAATATTTTTCCTTTATTAATAAAATGACAATGAGTACCGAATGGCCCAAAATTCAAGTCATATATGTTGACTAAGATTGAGGTCACCTGAAGGAACAAAGACATATATGTTGACTAAGATTGAGATCATTTGAATTAAAAAAGCAGCCTGGGTTCTTTCAATACACTCCTTGAAGCCCTGTATCCATATCGGAATTCCATAAAGAGTTTGGGCCAAGGTTTTGGCTTTGTAAATACGCAGAGCAGAAGGAATAAATTGGCCACCTTGGGTATAAAAATCTTAAAATCTGCTGATGGCTACAAAAAGCTGAATTCAGCACTGGGTTCGGTGTCTTGTCCAAGCACCAGTGTTCTGAAAATGTATACCTAAATACTTAAAATGGGAAACCTGCTTAACAGCATTACCCTTAATATCCAGTTGTGTAACTTCGGGCACTAGAGAACACCAAGACTTTTGATTTGTCGTAGTTAATGGACAAGTGATTCTCAGCACAGTAGGACCCAAATGCAGAGAGAAGCCTTTTCAGGCCAAGCCTCGTCAGTGATAGGAGGACCGCGTCATCAGCATAAAAGTATAAGCGGGATCTTCGTTGTTGACAGCTCATTATAGAATGAGGTAGTTTTGAGAAACAAAAGCGAAGAGATGGGCTTATTTAAGTTATTTTATGATACCATGCTTCAAATCTAAAGTTTTCTGATTGAATTTGTCATGCTAGGGTGTTGCAACAATTATTCAAAAGGTCTTGGGATAATTTTAAAGACCAAACATTTTATAGTGACATAAATACTGATGTGGGGACAGTGAGTTGTGAGAGGCAAAATGTGTTTACCTAAGTACAGACGCACTTGATATTGTTAAGTGAGCAGTGATAGCAACAATACTAATAATTTGATACAAGGTCAAGTGATCTTAATGATGAAACAAACTTCTGAAGATAAACTGTTATGCTCTATAAGTAAGTAATTTTCTCCATAATGGGCCTGGGGCCATCCCCTTCGGGAGAGGGGGCGGTATAAAAATTTAATAAATAAATAAATAAATAAATAAATAAATAAATAAATAAATAAATAAATAAATAATTTCTACAGATCAGAGAGCGGAAGAAACATGGGATTTTTTTCATGAATTTTCCTATTCTGAATATATTTACTCTGAAATAAGATACTAATCTTACTTTTTATTGTATATCCATAAATGTGGTAAGGTCAAGAAGTAGTTACTCACCTCTCTTTTTCCTCCTCTGATGCCACCTATTGTCAGATTTGTAAAGAATCTTAAATCTGTGATATTTCGTAGAATTATAAATATAGTTGATAATACCTTTGGGAATATTTTTCCTTTATTAATAAAATGACAATGAGTACCGAATGGCCCAAAATTCAAGTCATATATGTTGACTAAGATTGAGGTCACCTGAAGGAACAAAGACATATATGTTGACTAAGATTGAGATCATTTGAAGGAACAAAGACATATATGTTTGACTAAGATTGAGATCATTTGAAGGAACAAAGACATATATGTTGACCAAGATTGAGATCATTTGAAGAAACAGCTAAAGAATATTTACCAGTCTTCAAATTATATTCTAATTGATAACTAGCACATTGCCACATTGTTGCTGTTTTAGCAATACTTATCTTGAAGGCTTTAAAAATAAATACTGTGAGGAAAACTAAAGCATTATGTCAGATAATATAACATGTCTACTTAACAATACTCCGCAATGTTTGCTTTACCCAAGAGTAGACTACAATATGTCCGGCTACCACCTGCTTGGGAAAGATGAGGCATTAGCGGATGGCATATATCAAGTTAAAATGGAGAAAGAAATGTGGTTTTGAAGTGGGTGTAACATAAAGTCTTAGTTTACATATTTCTTTATCACTTGAAATTAATCTCCAAGGAGCCCATTTTGACATTGAAAAGCAGATGGCTCAGAGACAAAGCTCTCCCTGGCATGTCACCTACTGTGAAACTCTAGGAATGAAACCTGACATTCTTTGAATTGATTGGAAGTCAAAACACCATAATTGCATTACAGCACGAAAGCCAAGGTCTATGCCATAAAATCAGTACAGGCAAAAGCGCTCAATAGGATTACATTAATTTTGGGGAAAGCATTCTGCCCACTTTAAATAGACAGCATTTGGAAAACAAAAAGAAAGTCATAATCAAATTATTTAATGTGACTATCAAAATGCAAATAGCCTTCCAAATGACATTTTAAAAACTTCTCTTTCAGGGTGAACACTGTGAGCTTAATTACAATGACTGCTTAATGAAAACCTGCCCTGCTGGATTTTTCTGTGTGGACGGAATCAACAGTGTCTCCTGTTTGCCTGAGGCCCCCAATAAAGTCCATAGTAACTCTAGTATGGAAGGGGTGTCTCCAACCCAACCACTGGAGAGAGGACTCTCACAAGCTCAGCCAAGCTACTTGTCTGGTGATGTTTCTGGTCCTCAAAGGTTCACAGGTAAGTGGGGGGGAAATACAGGTAATCTTTGCTTAGTAGCATCCTCATTTAGCAACTATTTACAGCTACAACAGTGATGAAAAAGTAATTTTGTGACCAGTCCCTTCATTTATGAGCTTCACAGTTCTGTAATCCAAAACAAAGTTGAAGTAAGATATGTACAGTTGTGGTTTCACTTAGTGACTTCCTTTAATGATGGATTTGCCAGCCGCTATTATGCCTGCTAAAGGAGGACTATGTGTATTCGTTTCTCAGTCCTACAGAATAGACTAGATGAGACGAGACGAGACGAGACGAGACTAGACTAGACTAGACTTCTTTATTGGCCAAGTGTGATTGGACACACACAAGGAATTATTGTGGATTTTGAATCAGGTTTTTCCATGACATTCTTTAAACCTAATTGGAGCTGAGCTGATGTGAGCAGATTTATATGCCTCATAATATGTGCCTGCCTCCACTGTCAGTATAAGTAACTTGTGATTGGAAGTCAGATAATTGTACTTACCTCTTGAGAATGACTGTGTGAACCCTGTGCCTTTCTTTTTCTGGCTCGTATTTTTCCCATCCTCTTGGTAGTTTTGTACATAAGTGTGTCAGTAAGAAGCTTTTCAGGGTTTCCCCCTGTTCCTTTGTTTCTCAGATTTAGAACGAAAAAGACTTAGATAGCAGAGAAACCATTAAAAATGGAACAGAACCATAAATGCAGAGGCTAATATTGATTGCCACATGTCTGAGTTCATTTATTTAACTACAGATACTGCAAAAACATGTGTGCATTGTTGTCTTGTTCAGCTAATCTTTCAGGGGCTTTTGACAATTTTTAAAGCTAAGTCATATTTCTTCTTGATATTGATAAGTAAATTGAATGTGACCCAATTAGTAAATATCGTTATCTTGGTAACTTTTCCAGCTCATCGTGTTAGCTTTTCAAGTTCTCTATGGGAAAGATATGTAATTTATTCTTTTTATATTGATTCTGAAGAACAATTTGATTTAGCAAATTTAATACATTTCTTCCAAGCAATGCTTTTTTTTTTTTTTTTGCTACGTTCTCCCAGTGTGAATAACGGGAGGGCCTGCATTTAGTCAGCTCTTGAGGTCACTAGAATCTTTCTTATACTTTTATTAAGAATGTGATTTACGGAGTTGTATTTGTCTTCTATGGGATGCCTGGGTGAGAATTAATGGTTTTCAGGTAGCAATGCAATTTGCTGCCGATCCAGCCTAGGGCCAAAGCTCTTCACTTTTTATTTTCTTCTAACTTTTCCCCTTACTTTTTATCCTCTAAAGGCCTGCAAAATACTGGCTTTCTCAGCCATGGCAGTCTTGCATTCTTTAGCATAACAAAATTAATGTCCAGCATATCATTTAATGGCTGAGGTCTAGGATCATTAACTACCATTGCGAGTCTTCAGCAGCATGCTCTCTCTCACACAGACACACACTCTCCCTCTCCCTCCCTCCCTCTCTCTGAATGCATTCTCACTACGCAGTTGTGGGGTTTCTATGCCTTTTCTCAACCAGAATGAAGTCTGACACAACCGCTGAGCTATGGGCAATGATTGATAATTCCAGCAATTTAACACTAGTCTTGCTCTCACAAGATGAGTGTGATATGACCTCATTTATCACAGACTCCTTAATGACAACTCCTGTTCCCTCTGTGTGAAGTTTGTCAGTGGGGAACCATAACAGTCTTGTTTTATCTTCCATAGACATTAGTTCAGTAATTAGTAGCGTACCAGACACCAAGGTTGAATTAAACAGCCACTCATTACATCCCCCCAGATCCCAGCCTATGACTGTATATTGAATTTTTTTTTTCAAGGTTGTCTCAAAAAAACAGTAGAGAGCAATCAGCTGTTTCTCTTGCAGGCAACAAGTGGATTTCATCTAAACCTCCAGTGTTTTTTCCGTAAGAAATAATCAATTTAGAGAATATAGGTTGTTTTACCGTACCATTTCAGCAGGTTCAAAAAGTCAAAGCTTCCTTATGCTTGTACACATATTATAGTTTCATATTTCAAATAACGATTCCAAGGCGTTAAATTGCAATTTGATTTTTCTTTAAACAACTTAAATCAAACATTAGAGGGAGGGGAGTAGGATTCCATAGCGGATATAAAACTCTCAAATGAATTGCCAGATCAAGCTCTGGATAGCAAATATCCCTCTCTTTATAAGGCATTCTGAATGAATCAGTAATACTAATCAGCCGGTATGCATTAATGAGTTCTATAGCTGTTACATCTGGGCATTCATTTGTTTTGTGCATGTAAAATAAGCATCCTCGATGAAGTTCACAAATCTTTCCTAACTTGCTGGAAGAAGTAAGGTATGGAGGAAAATGGTCCAAGTCAGTGGTGGGATTCAGCCAGTTCGTACCACTTCGGGAGAACCAGTTGTTGACTTTCTGAACAGTTTGGAAAACTGGTTGTTGGAAGAAATCATTAGGGCAGAGAACCGGTTGTTAAATTACTTGAATCCCACTACTGGTTCAAGTACACCTTGACTGGAAACAAACACAAAGTTCATGTGCATTTAGTCAGTTGTACAGCAACTGCCCTTCCACAAATCATCTTTTTAGAGCAGAGGTGTCAAACTCAATTTCATTGAGGGCTGCATCAGGGCTGTGATTGACCTCGGGGAGTGGGTGGGTGGGTTGTGTGGCCGACTGGGTGGGTGTGGCCAACTGGGTGGGCATGGCCAGCTTGACACCACTCCCCAAACTGCTGGCATGTTTCAAAGCTAAGTTGGCCTGATCTTTTCTCTTTGCATTGAGTAGACCAGGATCCGGCCTGCTTTAGATCTACCATTTTCAATAATCTCAGTCTCACAGAGATCTAGCATGTATTTGGCAACAGATACGAAATAACTTCATTATATATTCTACAGTGGGGGGGATACTGCAGGATCCTGTGGAAGAAAGTCATCAATGCCTCAAGAGTATATGATTTTTACTCTGAAAAGCGAAGCAGTTTAATTTATTAGGTGCTTATAACTAAGTGCAGTACATAGAATAAAACAAATGATGCAGTAATGTATAAAATAATAATGATGACAAGTCCATGTTACACAAAGACATCAGTTCAGAGAGGGATCTTGAGCTTTCTCTTAAACATGCAGGCATTTAGCAGACCGGCTTACATTATCAATCTTTGCTGCTGATATGACATTTCCATCTGTTTTAGCTGATCAGTGGCTCTCTTATCAAAATCACTTTGCCAAAATTTCAGTGCCACATGATTTATTATTGGATGAAAAACAGGCTCTAAGTTCTTATTTAGTAATAAATAAGTAGTGCCTCACCTGTGAACCAAGAGAAAGAGGAAAGTTATAATAGATCTGAATGAAAGTGGCCTGGTCTTGGGAATTGGAGTTCATGAATGCATACAAGGATGTAAAGGTGTAGGCTTAATTACGAATTTAAGGGCTAAAATATATGTCAGAAAGTATGAATTGGTATAATCTAACCTGTTCTGAATACATTAAAAAAAAAGAAAAAGAAAACCACAAAGGTAGTAACACTTGCACAACCTGCTCCAGTAAATGGTGACAATGGAAGAACCAGAATTGAGATGTAGGGAAAATAGTGAATTTTCTGAATGGAAGCAATCTAAGTGAAATGTTATTCTGGTATAAAAATGAATGGGTAGGAACAAGAAGAAATGATGTGCGGAGAAAATTACTGGGCTATTTAGAAACCAAAGTATGAATTAGATCAGTAACTGCTTTGTGCATATATCATTTAAGCATAAACCTGGGTAAATGTGTGCATAGCAAAGGTGTTGGAAAATTACTGGGGATAATTTTTGGTTTGCACCCAGCACTCTCCCTGCTAGTTCCTGTATCAGGATCAGCGCAAGCACATGTGCCACTCAGTTCAGCTAGGGAAAAAAATGTAGCTTAACATTTGTTCATTATTAACATCCAAAAGTTAACTAGAAAAAAATTGACAAAATGTCAGATCTACATTATATACATTTTCCAGAAGCAAACAGTTCCTCGCAAATGATGCCTATTTTTCAAAGACATTCAAATTTTTTAGCAGTGAACTCTGTAACTCTTTGCAGCTTTTGACCATTTTCAATACCATCTCTCTTCTCATCAGAACTACGTGCCACAGATTCACAGGTGTTTATGAAATAAATATAGTATGTTTGTTGTATTTTAAAGTTTAATGTGTAAGTTAGGCATGAAATAAAATAAATGTTTCCTTCAAACCAAGTTTAACTCCTGGTGACTTCATGGCTATATCTATAATATCTATAAAGCCATCTATAATGCTTTTTTGGTAGCAAGATGAAAATGGTTTCCCAATGTCTTATTCTGGGATGTTTGTTTAATTTTCAAGCCTAGTCTTAAGCATGGATATTTCATCCAAATACTAACCAATACTTGACTCTGTTTATTTTCCAAGCCTATACAAGCTTCATTCATTTGTACTATTCAGCCAGATTGACTCTGTGGTTTGGATTGTAGACTTACATTCAATGTCTAGTTCAGTACATTATCAAGCAATTTTGACTTCAAATATTGGTTTATTTAAGAGGCAGTTTGGTGTAGTTTAAGGCATCAGTCTAGAAAACAGGAGACTGTGAGTTCTAATCCTGCTTTAGACAGTTGGCTGACTTTGGGCCAGATGTTTTATCTCAGCCCAAGGAGGAGGCAATGGCAAACCCCTATTGAAAAATCTGACCAAGAAAACTGCAGAATTGAACATGACTGAATGCGAAAAAAAAAAAAAGGTTTATTGCATGGTATGCATGCACATGCTTCTACTGTAACCACGGTCATTAATATTCTAAAGTTTGGCTTTAGCAGTGATGGCAGATCTGTTATTATTATTGATTTCCTGGCATTTTACTTTGTTTCCAAGAGATGGGTCATATGCATAGTTTACAATAACCCAGCTTCACCGGCATTTCAATTCATTAATTGCTAAGGCTGGGGCGGGTGACTGTTAATGGCCAATGAGCTTTCTTTGAGTTTATCTT